AATCCCAAACTATTGTGACACCAGATCTAATTAGTGGCACTTGTCAGCGTATCCACTGTTAGCGTAACACACCCGCTTTAAGGACACTGACTGCTATTCAATCTATAACAGTGAAAAAGATTATTTTTTTTTTAAATCCAAACTATTGTGACACCAGATCTAATTAGTGGCACTTGTCAGAGTATCCACTGTTAGCGTAACACACCCGCTTTAAGGACACTGACTGCTATTCAATCTATAACAGTAAAAAAAGTTTTTTGTTTTTAAATCCAAACCATTGTGACACCAGATCTAATTAGTAGCTTGTCAAGCATATCCACTGTTAGCGTAACACCGCTTTAAGGACACTGACTGCTATTCAATCTACTGTAACAGTAAAAAAGGTTTTTTTTTTTAAATCCAAGCTATTGTGACACCAGATGTATTTGGTGGCACTGACTGGGGAAATGGGCACAGTATGCACTGTGAGCCTGACACAGAAGCTGGCAGCAGTGGCAGACAGCTGACTGCTATTCAATCTATAACAGTGAAAAAAGTTTTTTGTTTTTAAATCCAAGCTATTGTGACACCAGATGTAATTGGTGGCACTGACTGGGGAAATGGGCACAGTATGCACTGTGAGGCTGACACAGAAGCTGGCAGCAGTGGCAGACAACTGACTGCTATTCAATCTATAACAGTGAAAAAAGTTTTTTGTTTTTAAATCCAAGCTATTGTGACACCAGATGTAATTGGTGGCACTGACTGGGGAAATGGGCACTGTGAGCCTGACACAGAAGCTGGCAGCAGTGGCAGACAACTAAGTGCATTTACATTAGATAGAAAAAAAAAATCCAAAAAAAGCATACCCTTATCCCTAACCTAGCTATGCTTTTCCCTATCTTATGAACAGCAGCTACACTTTCCCTCCTCTTACTAAACATGCAGCTTGAGAATGAATCTAAAATGGATGCTGTCCAGTAGGTGGGAGGGTCTGCTAGGGAGGCTGTGCTGCTAATTGGCTGGAATGTGTCTGCTGACTGTGAGGTACAGGGTCAAAGTTTACTCAATGATGACGAATAGGGGGCGGGTCGAACCGCGCATATGTTCGCCCGCCGTGGCGAACGCGAACATGTTATGTTCGCCAGGAACCGTTCGCCGGCGAACCGTTCGGTACATCACTAATTATTACCACTATTTATTGGACATTGGCAATATTGCACTATTTCCTTTCCTTATTTGTGTTCATTTCTAGGAAAGGTTTAAAGATCACTATCTGGTTTATCAATTCAGCTGGAAGGATCCCTATTTATATACTCCACCTTATATTGTATGTATAATCCTGTATTTTCGTGGGAATGAAGGGAATACCCACATAGGTGTTGTGAGTATTATTGACGTTTTTGGCTTCACTCATTGGGATATTGATCATAATTCACATTGTAGGTTACCAAATTACGGCTTTGTCTCTCGTTTATCCTGCTTTCTCTGATCCTTGTCCTATTGTAACTCCGTATCTCTGTACTCCTCTGACTTCGGCTTGTACTCTGACTTTTCCCTATTTTGAATAGCCCGGCCACTCTAAGGACCGGTATTGCAATTCCTCCCCCTTTGATCTGTCAGTGTGTTTGGTTCTGGAATCATGTCATAAAGTAGTTAAAGCTTTTTAAAATATTCGCCCCAAGGTACAGGCTAGTCACTTGGGGTACAGTTAAGGTACCCTATTTTCTAAATTTCAGTTTGGTAATGTTCTTCAGTTAGCATGCAATTAATTGGGTATTGATTGGAAAATAATTGCATCGCAATTAATCTGAATGGGAGTGGCAACCAAAGCAATGCCACAAGGTTTGTCAACTGAATCAGTTAAAAGAGTGGATCGTTGGTCTTTCAACAGATTTAAGGTTTACACCCGGAATCTGATTTTCTAAATATGGATACTTACTTTTTCTCTTGATGAGATATGTAACAGGGTTGATGTTCCAGGAGGGATAAGCCAAATGGCAAATGATTAAGGTAAACTAGAAAAATGGTCAGAGCTGTGGCACCTGACGTTTAATGTGGATAAGTGCAAGATAATGCACCTTGGACGTAAATACCTAAAGGCAGAGTATAGGATATTTGATACCCTACTAACCTCAACATCTGAGGAAAGGGATTTAGGAGTAATTATTTCTGATGACTTAAAGGCAGGCAGACAATGTAATAGAGCAGCAGGAAATGCTAGCAGAATGCTTGGTTGTATAGGGAGAGGTATTAGCAGTAGAAAGAGAGAAGTGCTCATGCCATTGTACAGAAAACTGGTGAGACCTCACTTGGAGTATTGTACGCAGTATTGGAGACCGTATCTTCAGAAGGATATTGATACTCTAGAAAAAGTTCAGAGAAGGGCTACTAAGCTGGTTCATGGATTGCAGGATAAACCTTTCCAGGAAAGATTAAAGGAGCTTAACATGTATAGCT